TTTTTCTTTAAACGAGCCAAGGGTTCTTCTTTCTTTGTTTCTTTTTTTTTTTTTTTGTAATCTTTGTGTTTGTTTTTATAAATCCGGGCATTTTAGTATACTGTGGTAACTCTGGAAATCAGATTATCCTCCTTTCCCTGGGTTCACTGTTTTTGATTGCTGAAGGCTATAGTCGTCCATTTGTTTAGTGATTTTTCAAATCAATTTTTTTTCCTCAAAGAATGTATTCTTTGTTGTATGTAGTCACTAAAACATCTGTTCCTTTAACTTGTATTCAGGTACTGTTTTGACATAATTTTCCTTGAACACCACTAAAATAACCTGACACAAAAGCTAAAGGGTTTGCCTCTGTGCTGAGGCACTCCTCCAGCAGTTAGCCAGGCGGTGTGCATCTGTCTTAACCTTTACTTTCTGATTGCACTTAGCCTAGATTCCGAAAAAGGGGAAAGCTTAGCAACTTCCCAGGTATTTTCTAAGCACATATTCTGTCCTGGGATTTCTAAATTCTCCAGATTTTCCAGTGCACATGTGCACTTTTGAATACACTTATTTCCTCTGAAAAGTTTTCTTTCTAAATTATTACATTTCTAAATCCCATCTCCTTCATCAGTAAATGCTAATAATAATAATACTCATATCAGAGTTACATAAAATGTCAGTAAGTTATATGATAGATAAAGCACTTTTGTTTTTCTTTTTTATTATCACCATAATCTTCTTTATATTACATTGGATTACATATAACTTTACAGTGTATTACGTTGTTTTTTCAAAAGGGAATGCCATGTATGTCAGTCAGTACAGAGACATTAATTCCCCACTTCAACATTCAATATCTTTTCTATGTTTTCCCCAATCATTATTTTTATTATTCTAATTATTTTTTAAAACAGTCAATCGCTATTTCTCAATTTGCTTGTAAAAATACTTTGCCCATCATGAAGTACTTCTCAGACCAATCCAGTTGAGAATACTATATTTCTGAGCAATGCCCACTGCCCACTGATTTTCTCTCCTGAATTCAAAGTTAAGCAAAAAATAGACAAACGTTCCATGTCAGTCCTTCAGGTAGTCCCAGACAGGTTAGAACAGACAAATGATATTTTTTAACAAAATCTGCTCTGCTCCATACAAAACTCAGTATCAGAGTTCCACATTGGGAATGCAGGGTGCCATCTTCAAAATACCACTGCATCTTGGAGGTGTGTGGCAAGGGTAAGTAAAAGAACCACAAAGCTTTCTTAGTGTTTTGAAGATTCCTTCTTGATTCAATGTATACTTGGTAGCTACAAAACAATGACTATTTTGTACTATTCTGAAGACATGTTTCTGATAGTTTTTGCTTTTTTTTTTTTTTTTTTAATGTCTCTATGGTGGGATGCGCATTTGGAGCTGCCTGTCTTGCATTGGCTAATGTCGTCATCTTCTTTTACTTTGATGTGAACTCCAAGCATCAAGATTGACTCTCATTCTTCTCCTTGATGCAAATAGATTTCTTCACTTAAAAATGAGTGGCTAGCACTATATACCACCAAGAATTTATTTAGCCCTAATTGTTCATTCTTCCATGACTTAATAGTTCCAGGGATAGTTTCAGTCCATTTAAGTCCATTTAGCATTTCGAAGCCAGATGTAGAAAAATCAGAGCACAGAATTAGCTTTACCTTTTTAAAAATTTTTTTTAAAAATGTATGTGCATGGGCCTGGCCAGTGATGCAGTGAGTTGTTCAAGCAATGTTGACTTCATGTGGAAGCTCATGGGTTCAGTTCCCTGGTCTACATGCCAGGATTGCACCCTTAATCCTGGCTGGCTGGGAAGGTTGGGGGTGGGAATTGTGGTGTGAGACCCTATAAAGGATCCTTCTCTTTCTTTTTTTTTAACCTCTGACTTTCACTATCATGAAAAAATGAATAAAACCTAAAAAAAGATAAAATTTACATATGACAAAATTATCTTTCTGGTAAATAAATATTAACAAGTGGCTACAGTTGTGTGACAAATACTAAAATTAAGACAGAGAACATTCCCATTGCTGATCTAATTTTTTCTTATACGTATTTCTAGTCAGCCTTTTCTCCAGCTCCAGTCCATGGCAATGATCTGATTTCATACCTATAACTTTACCTTTTCAAGAATGACATATAGGGACCAGCAGTTAGCATAATGGCTATGTCACTGGACTCCCACATAGTTGACCGTAGTTCGCGTCCCGGACCTGGTGGCTTAAAACTCACTCCGGGCACGTGTGCATGCGTGCCCAAGATCCCAAGAGGAGAATGGAGGAGAAAGGATTGTGGCGTGGCCATCCCCTCCGGGGGGTGATTTCTCACTTTCTGTCTCTCTGTCTCTCTCTGTCTGTCTGGCGAGCTCATGCACCCTATAGCAAAAACCTCTTCAAAAAAAAAAAAAAAAAAGAATGCCATATAAAGGAAATCACAGGGAATGCTACCTTTTTAGTCTGGTTTCTCTCACTTATCTTAATGCATTTGAGATTTGTTTATATTATTGTGTATAACAGTAATTCATTTTCTTTTTGAGAAGTATTCCATTCTATGAGTTTACTGAAGTTTTTCATCCATTTATTTGGGGGGCTATTGGCTTATATTCAGTTTTTTACACTTATGAATAATGCTACTATACATATTTGAAAACCAGTTTTTGTATGACTATTTTCATTTCTCTTGGGTGAGTATCTAGGTTTAGGAGTCTTAAGCCTTATATTAAGAATATATTCTACTTTCTAATAAATTACAAAAGTGTTTTCTAAAGTGACTATAAAATTCTGCATTATCAGGGGACCAGCAGATGATGTAAAGATTATGTCGCTGGACTCCCTCATGGCTGAATGCAGTTAGTATCCCAGACCCAGTGTCTTAAAACTCACACTAGACACCTGTGCCTTGCATGCCCAAAAATCCTGAGAAGAGAATAGAAGAGAAAGGATTGCAGCATGGCATTACTCACTTTCTGTCTCTGTCTTTCCATTGAGCACATGTGCCCTTTTGCAAAAATCTCTTTAAAAAATTGTGTTATCATCAAGAATGTATAAATGAATTAGATGCCAGCATCGTTACCAGAACTTGATTTATGGTTATTTTTGTTTAAGCAATTGAGAAAAATGTGAAGTAGTATCTCAGGTGGTTTCATTTTATATTTCTCTAATGTCTAATGATGTTCGGCATCTTTTCAGGTGTTACTTTGTCATTTGTAAATCTTCTTTTCTGTTTTTTTGTTTGTTTGTTTTGTTTTGTTTTGTTTTTTTGAGAGGATTTTGCTATAGGGCGTGCGTGCTTGCCAGAAAGACAGAGAGAGACAGAGAGACAGAAATCGACAAATCACTCCCCGGGAGGGGATGACCACGCTGCAGTCCCTTCTCTTCCATTCTGTTCTCAGGATCTTGAGCATGCAGGCACATGCGCTTGGCGTGAATTTAAGCCATAGGGTCCGGGACCCGAACCACAGTCAACTACATGGGAGTCCAGCGACATAGCCATTATTCCAACTGCTAGTTGCTGTATATCTTCTTTTCTAAAGTATCTTTTCAAGCCTTTTACTGATTTTTTCATTAATTCATTATTTTATTGATCTTTGGATATCCTTTGTGTATTTTGGATACAAGAAGGATTTAAATTTATATTCTTAATAGTATCTTTAACATAGGCCAGCAGGTGGCATAGTGCTTAGCCTTAAACACTCCCTGGAGTCCCGCATTGCTGACTGTGGTTCAAGTCCCAGATCCAATGGCTTGAAACTCACACCAGATGAGTACGTGTGTGTGTGTGTGTGTGTGTGTATGTGTGCCCAAAATCCCAAGAGGAGAATAGAGGAGAAGGGATTGCAGTATTGGCTGTATCCCTGGGGGTTGATTTCTCACTTTCCTTCTCACTGTTTCTCTCTTGTCTTTCTGGCAAGTGCATGAACCCTATAACAAAAACCTTAAAAAATAATATCTTTGGGACCAGCAGTTGGCGCTATGGCCATGTTGCTGGACTCCCATGTAGTCGACCACGGTTCGCATCCCGGACTCGGTAGCTTAAACTTACTCTGGGTTCATGTGCGTGCGTGCCCAAGATCCCAAGAGGAGAATGGAGGAGAAGAGATTGCGGCGTGGCCATCCCCCCTGGAGATTTCTTGTTTTCTGTCTCTCTGTCTTTCTCTGTCTTCCTGGCAAGTGCACACGCCCTGTAACAGAAACCTCTCCAAAATAAATAGATAAAATAATATCTTTAACAGAATTAGCTAGATCTCACATGGTAAGCTGTGTAGCCTGAGTCCGAGACCTGATGGCTTGAGAAACCTACAGGTGTGTGTGCATGCATGCCCAAAATTCTGAACGGAGGGAGAGATGAAGGAGAAGGAATTGCAGTGTGACCATTCTTTCTGGGAGAGTTCTTTCTCCTTTTCTACTTTCCTGTCTCTCTATCTCTCTCTGGAAAACAGTCGTACCCTCTTACAAAAAAAAAAAAAAAAAAAAAAAAAAAAAAAAAGAGAAATATTGGCTTGACAGGTTCACAAAAATATTTCTCTACATTTTCTTTCCTAAGTTTTATAGATTTGGGCTAGATGTTTGGAATACTTTGAATAAATAAAATTTTTAAAGTGTATTTATATTCTATTTATTAGAATTGCTTATGAACTCAGAGGCCAGCAGGTGGCATGTTGGTTGAGGGTGCTGGATTTCCACATGGCTGGCCGTGGTTCGAGCCCAGACCTGGCAGCTTGCTTTCTTGATTTTATTTTCTCTCTCTCTGTCTCTCTCTGGTCAAGTGAAAGACAATAATAACAAGTGGAATTACATAAAAAAATAATTCTCTAAAAAATAATTGCTTATGAACTCATGAAAAGCAGATCAAGTCTTATTTTAAAATATATAGTTTCAGTATTGCAAGATAACTTTATTTTTGAGAACGTTTCTTAAACTACTGTTTTGTTAACTCAGTGGTTAACACATTCTCAAGGCAAAAATAGTCACAAGTATAATATTTTATTTAACTTTCAGGTGGCAACTTTTGACTTCACTATTCAAGTTCAAATTAATTTCTTCAAGGCTTCAGAGCTCTATACAGAATATTTGTCAAATTCTTCTAAGATTCCAATGACAACACCACTTATTCAACCATGTTATGTGCAAGCTATTGGTATGTAATGGGAAACAGTCAATTCATGTGGGTCAGATGAAGATTTACACTTAAGGATCTAAATTTTTTTTAAAAATCAGAAATATATCCTTTTTCAAAACTAAAAATATTAGGGGCCAGCAGTGAACATAATGGCTATGTCGCTGGACTCTCATGTAGTCGACCGCGGTTCGAGTCCCGGACTCGG